CAAAAAAACCCCGCAGACACATGGCCTCATCCACACAGGATTGTTTTCCTGCAACAGATAAGGATAATTTGCTCATTAGCTTCCCTCCTTCTGAGCTGTATCATACTGACTCCACAGTGAGTCCTGGCTCCCACTTCAGTCATCATGCCACACTTGATCAATTTAGAGGAATAGGGCTATCTCCTGGCTGAGAAAGGGTCTGGCCAGGGGTCCTCCCTCCCCAGCCTGCCACTCCAGACCAGGCAAGTGCCAAGAAAGAGTGCAAGTATTTGAATGAGAAGGTCAGCATTTGCTTTAAGAACTGAGATGTTCTTCGGTTATAATTACATTGACGAGCTTTATGTTTTTCACTTCAGAGTCACAGGGTTTGCACAATCAACCTTGAGAGCAGTATAACAATATTACAGTTTCAAAGACCAGAGTGTAATACAAAACCAGCTGCAAAGGCTCTAAAACACAAACAGCTCATCTTTGCTCACCAGGAGGAGGGGAAGAAAAAGCACTTTTGGCAGTATTACAGTAAATTAATAATCACGTTCTACTTTCTCAACTTCATTAAAAGTAGGAATACTTTCCAAAACTGCTGCATACTCAAAAATAGAGGTTGTAGTAGAGAGTTTGGATACTCGGTGTTGATGGGACACAAGATGAAATGTTGTACTGAATGTTAAGGGCACTCTGCAGAAACTTCTACGAACGGCTTAGAGATAAAACTCAGTTTTCACATTAACATGTGTTATATGATTGGAAGCATCACATATAAGTCCTTTTCACCAATCTCCATGGATTTAAACATTTTCCTCAAAGCTCACACACAGTGTCACATGAAGAACCTGAAAATGAAACCTACCAGTCCAGTTACAGGCAGAAGTGAAACCTGTCTAGTTAATCATTAATAGACAAGCTGAAATACAGAAAATAAAGCCAACATGCACTCCAAATTTTACATATGCTTTCAGTAATATTTTAACTTGGTCACTTGACGCTTTTTTTTTTAAACTAAGAATCATGCATTTTGTTAACCTTCCAAAATGGTTACATGCAGAGCCACAGCTGCTGTCTCTCCTCTGAATTCAATACAGCCTCAACAGCTTCTAGCAGCTATGGATCCACTTATGAGGCCTTGACTCAGCAGAAACCTAAACATGGAATTTATTTTAAGTATATGCATAACTATTCTGCTGACTCAGGTTAGCTGGGCTGACTTCTGATGTCCAATGTTTGTCTGAAAACAAAGAGCAATTTAGAAGATGTACGCAGTTCCATGTACTATGTAGCTTCACCTGTTCAGACGAGCTAAGTTTCAATGCTGGGGTGGGCAACATGCCCTACGGGCCTGTTCCCCTTGGGAACAAGGGCGTAAGGAAAACGATGCACCTTGAAGATCACCATAACATCCCCAGGGACTGCATGGATCTGGGAGGTGTACTGGATCCTATTTAGACTACGTATATTTAGACATCATATGGATTTCTATTTTTTTTAATAAACAAAGACAACAAAAACAATTAAAATTATCCCTATAAGGGCTTTTGAAATGCAAGACCTTCATTTACACACAGACTTGTCATTTTACCAGAAACACTCTAGCAAACTTCCAAAAAGGACCCCTAACACCTTTCTGTTTTGTTTGGAAAGCTTGGTGTTTTCCCCGTCACTTCAAGCTTTGGAAACACCTTTATTGCAATTAAAACACCTACTCTGCAAACGTAATTTCTAATAAATGATCTTAAATGCCCAGCCTGAACTTTCAACTTGGCCACATGGAACCAGAACAAACAGACCATATACAAGCCAGAGAACAGGCAAACCCCAACGAATTCAGCCCCTCAGCGCTAAGGTGGGGTGCCCAACCTGTAGCGCTCCTGCCAGGACAAGCCACGCAGCCCATGGCCCTTTCTCCCAAACATCCTTGGGATGCAGGCAAGGAACAAGGAGCTGCTACTTATGCTGCAGCCATCGGCTACGAGAGGGAGCTTCTGCAGGCTGATGCAGCACGGAGAGAAGACACCACTGCCATGATGCAAATAAGAAAAGTAGAGGGTTATATTTGAGCTCCTAGATCTGAAGCTGCCAAAAGCCCAAGAAAACCACTTTCCCATCCAGTCAAAGCAGAAAAAGCTTGAAGGATGTTTTTAGCAGCATGCATAGTATTTAAGCAAATTCAGAATTCAGCAAACATCACACTTGCCCACAGATGATCATAAGGTTAATTCAAAAATATTCTTACAAGTGCTAGGAAGGGAATGAATTGGTTGTTTTAGAGTTCCCACAGGTGAGTCAGTAACTTTACAGAAAAATCAAATGTACAGGTCCTGCTTGAGGAAGAACAGAACAAAAAAAGTAGGACTGAGCAACGAGGAAACAGGAGAGTTGAAGACACAGCAAGACATTCATGCACTCAGCCACATGCCTGCCAGGAGTTTCACCCAAGAGTTTCCCTGCCCATAGTTCAAACCTCATTAGTGACCTATAGCAGAATCACTTCTGCAGCTTTATCATTTTATAAATAAACCCATTCTTAACTTTTTTATGCCTCAGTGACAGCAAGCACAACATACTTAACCACGTAGCACATTAAACAGATCTGTCAAGGTGGGTACATACAAAAAAGTTTTCACGAGAACATTTGACATTGCATTCAGACCAATGCTTTATTCCTTCAAGGTAGGGATCAAAAAAGGCAAAGAGGGAAAAAAGCATGTACTACTTTTTCTTTCTTCTATATTTAAGCACTGTAGGTGACTTGCAAGAAGACAGGGTGAACTTCCACCTCCCACCCCCTCATGCTGGGAACCCACAGGGCCAGCAGCTTTGGGCATTCACTCTCGCATCCATATGAGCCTCAGCACCCCACTGCACCCCTCCTCCCCGTGGGCCATGAGAACAACTCTCAGCTCCCCCAAAATATTGCAGCTCTTCCTTTCCCCTGTACTGGCTATCTGTGAGCCTTCATCACTTCCACCTTCCCCATACACGCCCCTCTGCGACCAGCTTTAACGCCACCTCAGTCCCATTGGGTTTGTGCTCTGGACCCAAACACCATGTGTGTGACAGCACTTCTGAGGGATACAGCACAGAAATACAGTAGGTTCATCGATAACTCCAAAAGCATGTCATAACAGCAAAATTAATCAAGGGAATGACATTAAAAAAAAAAAAGTAGTCTTCAGTGGCTGCTATAAAAATGACAGCAAAATGAGGCCTGTTCCACTCCCTGCTCAAAGATGTTTAATCCTGAAGGAGGACAAGACACAAGTGTGCTGACCCTTGTCACTAGACATGGCACACATTTGGGGAGGGAGATAGGAACCCAGAAAATCCAAGGAGAAAGTCCACTTGGCTTTAACCACTGCTGACAGATGTGTATGGTGGCATCTGCTTTATGAGAAAAGTGGTTTTTTTTCCAGAAGGCTTTAAGTGCTTCTCTCTCCTCTTCCCACCTTACAGAAAATGCTGTTTCCTCCTCCAAGGTTGCAGATTGATTTATTCAATACTCAGAAGCAGGATAAAAGGGAGATGGAGCCTGATAGCTGTCAATTCATAGAAACAGGTTCAAAAAATGCTTCCTTCTTCCCAGATCACAGACATGCTTTTCTCAGCTCTCACCTACCATGCATTTAGGGGTTGTTTGTATCACACGGGGACAAGAAGCGATGAGACCAGAAAAGGGGGCAAGAAAGGAAAAGAAACAGAGGGACTATCACAGGTTCTCTAAAGCTGTTGGTCTGAAGTCAGACAATTCGTCACATAAAATGTGAAACATGTTTACACATCATCCCAAAATAAAATTTGATCACAAAAAATCATGTCCTCCTAAAGATGACCATTCTGATTTAAAACACTAAACTTTTCCACAGAAAGACAGACAGACGCAGCCTACTGAGCTAAGCTCCCTCTTGCTGGCTTCCATCTCTCCTTCCCTCATCCCTCATCTAAAGTCAGCTAAAATTCCAAGGGCAGTTTTCCAATCATGTGACTTCCTACCAGTGTAATTATTGACTCACCTATTAGCAAGGACAGTTAGAGACAGCTCACCTGTTCTGGGTAACACACAATTTAAAAAGTTCAAGAAACTCTCCGCCCCAGCATTTATTTTGCTTGTCCCTGGGCTCACACAGTTTTTAGGCAGGAGGGAAAGCACCAGTTGCAACCTGCAGGCTGTGAGCTGCTCAAAGAACACTTCCTACCCAGCTGGGAAGAGCCCAGTGCCAGGAAAGGGAACCAAAAAGTCTGCTTCCGTACAAGCTCTGTATCATTCTTCCAAAGCTTGGTGGGGTTTGCACTTGGCCAAGTAAAACCCTTAGTGATGGCACTGCTGCAGCTATCAGTGATGCTTGTTTCCATTAACATGATGATGAAACTCCTGTGACAAGATGGTGGTGGGAGAGCAACAGGAGCACGAGATGCAGCTGCTAAAAAAGACAGATTGCCTTTGTGGACAACTCCCTTTCTTTTCTTACTCATCTTTAGTTTTCTATAGTTGCCAAGTGCACTCCCCCTGACAACAACCCATGCCACCTTCTCACACTCTGAGGAATAATGTAAGGTTTAAGAGATTACAGGCTGTTAAAAAAGAAAAAAAAGAAGAAAGGTGGTAGAAAGGGAGAACAGTGAGAAATCTTAATAGTTACAGAACATTTTACATAATGGCTTTTTTTATGTTATTCCAAAAGATTCTAGAAAATTTTACAGGTATCTGCACAAGTCATGTTACAGTGTCAAGTTCCTAACAGGAATAAGTTAGCAGCAAGTGCTCTATTTTAAAACATCATTGACTTTGTACAAACAGTTTTAAGGCTTCTGTATAAGAACATTAGATAGCAGCTTCAGAATATGATTTAAATGACATATAGTAATTGTACCCTGGTGTTCAAGTATGTGCCAGGAACACATCAGAGGGGACCAAATTATTACAATAAAAGTCCTACAGCTGTTCAATCTTTGTCAATGAACACAGCACAAAAGGTTTTTAACAGCACAAGTATGAAGTAGGTTACCTTTCTTCGCTTTCTTCTGTAGCTTCAGTGTATCAGAAGATTTCTTTTTTATCTCTTGCCGGGCTTTTTTGTATTCTAAAAAAACACACAGTCTCTATTATCAACATACTTGATGAATGTTTTTCACAGAAAAGGCTATGTTTAAAGACACTAGACTACAAATTTTAAGAAGACAGCTACTATTAGTCAAAGCAACTTAGAACTCGCATTTTGTAGTGCCTATAAGTTTGGCTTAATATAACATTTTAGGGTGTGAGCACATTCACATACCAAAATCTTTCCCAAATAAACAAAGCCTTTACAGAAATAACAACTGAGAACACAGTACAAAATTAGAGTGCTTTTCATTTCAGAGACTCATCCACTCTCAGGAATGGAAAACAGAGATGACAGGTTTCTCGAAACATCTGTGTTCAAAAACAAGTATCCAGAAATGGCAAGGTAGAGAATATCCTGTGATCCCTCTCCAGCATGAGAGCCAGGCAGAGGGAGAGGGTGCTAAAACTTTGCCCAAGGAAGGCTCACATTGCCAGCTCTTTCTGATGAAGTGGAGCACCCTGCAGTTGTCCTCATTTTCAGATGAGCTGCAAAACCTGGGAGAAATTAAAATCCCAGAACAAAATATTCCACCTCTAGTCCAGGCACGTTAAAGGTACCAGATATGAAAACTGATACTTTAAAAAAAAAAAAAAAAAAAAAAGATAAAAGGCATGTATGCATGTATATACATATACACATACACTTTAACAAAGGAGGTCAATGTTACTCTTCTATAGATGGAAAAACAGAAGCAAGCTGGTGGTGGGCACAGGACCTGTACCGGGACCAACTGCACCCCCAACACCCAAGCCTACCCACTATACCCTAAATCTCACTGCCACTTTGGCCAGGGTCACCCCTACCTGCAGGAACCCAGGTGATTCCTCCCTCCTGCTCACTACCTGCTTAATACTCTCCACAGAACAAGGTGGAAGTTTTTTCAAGAGCTGCTGATTTAGCTGCTTCTGTTTGACGACAGTAATCGTGGGGCAAGAAGCAGATCCTCTTTTGGAGGCCAAGCACACTCCCTCCCATCAGTTCTTACCCTCCCCAAAATAAATTATGGTGATGCCACTTCTTTCAGACATAGTAAAAGTCTTCAGTTTTCAAGGGTCAGTGGTGAACTGCAACCTGCTTTCAGCACCCGTGCTAGAGGGCCACCATCCCCAATACAGTTTTGCAAAGCCGAAGGCATCTACCAACACGCTCTTGCTGTGCAAGTGTTTGCTGCCTCCTGCTCATTACCCCAGGAAAGCTCTGGAGCTGTCATCAGCACTACAGCTCTGGGCATCCCATGTCCAAAGACACAGCTTTCCCGTTCCCCAGGTGCACATTTCTGTATCACATCAGATATAAAATAATGATGTTCAATGTTTTACAGGGCTGTGCATTCTCTGGAGGGAGCTATGTCTGAGACATAACATGATTTTACAGTTAGCTTTTAACTACATCCCCAGGCTTTGCAGGCATAGATGCGGCATCCCCATTCCTCAGCACTAGTGGAGATCATACAGTGAGAGTAGGCTAACAGAGTTAAAACTAGTCACTGCTTACCAGTCTAGAAAAACAACCCATCCCTTGGGGTCCTGCAAACTAAACCTTCAAAATGTATATGCAAGGGTTAAAAATTTGTTAGGCACTATGGGAGAGGAGTGTTTTAGAAGAGAAAAGTTGCTATATATATTTAAGCACGTCATTCAGTTTCCCAGTACAAACATGAAAAGAGGAAGAAAAGCTGATATTACAATCTTACTCCTATTAAAGAATTCTTCCTCTGTAACTACCTTTTGCATGGTCTTTATCCAGTTGATTGGCCACTTTCTTCCACTCTTCCATCTGTTCTTGAAGTGGGTTTATCAGACAGTCAATTAAAGCACTAATTTTGTTGAAAAAACACAAAGAGCAATCAAATCCTGCAGATGCCCCTATTCTTATATAGAGAGCCAAGGTCAATATTGGAGTATTTTTACTTTTTGCTGCGACAGCTACCAGTGTCACAATGTAAATATCAGAATATAAAAATGTTTACGCTGGAGAAAGCAAAAGAAAGGACTGGATCAAAAAAAATCCACATCACAAGATAACCGGAATTACTGTGCAGAAGTTCAGGACAGTGAGGAACAGAGTGTAAACCAGAGGAGTGACCCGAAACAAGGCCAATGTAAACAGTTAGATCCTACTCATCTATCACACAAAGAGCAGTTTAAATGGATAGTCTGGAGACCGGAAAGGTTCATGCAGCCATGAAGATTATGAACTTAAATAACACATGTATATGCACAAAAAGACAGAGCAGTTGTACAAGCGAACAACATCCTGCCCACCAATGTGCCTCACCTCTCACCAGTGGAGTCTGTGATACAGCACTACTAATGTTCCACTAATTAATGAGATTGGGATCAAATCATTTAAACAGCTAACTCGGGGGTAACTAGAGACTGAAGTTGTCTCCTCACAGCCAGTTTCACAATTATCTTTATTTTAAAAGGGAAAAAACATACCAGGTCATCAGGCAAATGGTGAAGTATCATTTTGGTTGACCTCAGGTCAAGTGTAACTTTTAAGTCTGGTTAAAAAAGGCACACGTGCAAACTACTACTTACTACAGAAGTAGGTTGTTTATGCATAGCCCAGCTTACGAGTTAATCCTCTCCCATTACCTCTACAGTCTAACTTCAACTGCAAAAAGGGGATGAGAGAATTTGCCTTTTCCATAATTGTTTGCTGAAAGTTTCTCTCTTGGCTGCAAGCTATTTGGACTCTCCGGTAAGCTGAGGAAGCAGCACAACACTTGCTGCTGCTTTAAAACTTAGTGACAAAGCTTAAAGTCCTGAAACCAAGACAAGTCAGTCACATCAGCAGCCACCTGCTCAGCACCGAGCAACAGAAACCAACAGCATTTAGAATGATTTGAGGTGACAAGCCCAGTCCCCAGAACACGCAGTGAAATCCTGCATGTTCACAACACCTATGTGCTGTGAGGGAGAAAACAACTGCTGTTCTCAGCGACATGATCAGAGACCAGCTGAAAAGCCAATGCTGGTGAACAGCTTTAGGTGTTCCCCAGTAGCAAATGAAAGACGAACCTCGAGCTCCAGGCCAGGTACAGAGCCACTCACCTTGAGAACTGCCGGAGTTTGGACTCTATACTTCTGTGCCTCATACACATCCTGGTGAGAGCAGACCCAATCTCTCTGGTACCACCTGCAAAACAAAACACGAGGCAGGTGAGACCCCTGATGAGGTTCCTGCCTGTGGTGTAGAGGCATGCCAACCAGAAGGCAGGTGCCAAGTTTTCCAGAGCAGAGTAAAACAGATTCATTATAACTGTAGAATTGACCAGGCTATTAACTGGGCAGACCTCAGGGATATCTACCACCTTGGGAAGAGATTAATTCTTGTTCATCCAGAGACCAGAACTGAACAATTAAACACGATTAAAACACAGTTCTTCCCAGCAGCTTTATGTGCCATGAGGCCCAACTCCGTGGCAGAAGAGTTAAAAGAAAAGGGCTTGAGATGTCAAAAGACAAGAAGCAAAGCTGGCAAGCAAGTGGGCATCTACAGACAGTTTATTTCCACATTTGGGAAATAAACCTAGGGCATTCGATCCAATTTTCCCATATCTAGATTCTTTAGACCCAATGCCTTAAAAGGATTTTGGTCCTCCAGAATATGTGACTACTCCTACATATTGCCTCATACATCACTGACACATATCATCAGTGTATCACCCGTACCTGCCATCTCAGATCACGCATATATTTTTCATTACATTGCCAGAAGGTGGCACTATTTGCGCTATACCCTCACTCAGTTTCTGGTAACTGCATGACAGCAAGGATAATTGTTTGCAAGTGTTCCTCCTCCGAAGTTTTCCCTTTTAAAAGCATACATTCCTCCATTTCCCACTTTAATCAGCATTACCAACTTTGATCAGCCTATTAAATTTCAATATAATTTTGTTTTAGTTAGCATTAGTTCTGATAATTGCTTAGTTCTTATCTGCAAGCCAAATCTACTATTCTCAGTGTACAAACATCGACCTTTGTACAAAGCTTTTCTGAACCGTAGTACTCTCTGGAATGGCGAAAATATCAGCATCTATTTAAAAGTCTCATTTGATTACTAACATAACCTTAGACTTGTAATATACAGAAAAATATCTTCCTTAGGCTTTAAAAATGGTATTGTGCAAGTAAAAAATATTTTCCTAGTAAAGAAATGTGAAAATTTTAATAATTTTATTTATTTTTTTAGCACAAAAACAAGTAATCATCTTCCTGTGTTCCTGCAGAATTAAATCCTGTGTCCACGAAACAGCTCTGAAACAAAGACACTGAATAACTGGAACAAATTGTGGCTATTTGGTATTTTCCATTGTTCAAAAAGATAAACAGAAAGTCCTTTGTCACTTGCCCAATTACTCATGTTTTTATAAGGAGCTTTTGAAATAATATTATTTGGTAACACTGAAGAGCTGTAGCCTTGCTGCGTATGGGCAGCTGGGAAAAGCATACGGACTCCAGCCTGGATCCAGACCTATTTCTTCCAGCAATGCTGCACTTGCACAAGCTGCAACAGACTCTGGTAACTAGAAAAGCAATACAGAAGATGGGGAAAAGCGTAACGGAGAGAAAGCAACTGGAGGAAGAGGACAACATCCACAACAAAAAGTGGATCTCTGTCCCAAAACATGGGCATTTTTCTCTGGAGCCACTGCCAAATAAAAGTAACTCAGAGCCTCATGCGGCACAACTCCTAAAGGCAGAGATGGAGAAATGAACCAAAAACTTCCACAGCCATCGGCAGAGCAATTCCCAATCGAATTTAAGCAAAAGGCAGGTTTTTCAGGTTGAAAACTCACTGAAATACTGGAATATTAAGGACTGTCAATGGTTAAGTGACACTGCTTTCCTAAGCCCATTACACGAAAAAAGGAAGAGTTGTTTCAGAACAATAAATAGGAAATAAGGCACCATGTGTCTTGGAGACTAGGAAACAAGGGTCAGTTACTATTAATATTAACGTGCAAGGTAACAAAATTTTAACCAAAACCTCAATAACCGAAGCATAAACATACCGCCTCAACACATGGTACAGATGGATGGGCAAGGTCAGCAAAACAGCTATACAAAGTCAGTATTGGTAGTCGTGCTTGTTTAAAAAAAAAGCACAATAAAATAAAGAACGCCTGGAATAAAAAGATTATTCCATGGAAGAAAACCAAACCCAGCTGGTTCAGAATGAGGGGGTTACTGGTTCTTCCCACCTTTTGAAACTTCATGTTACCCTTAAGTGTTTACAAGAGCATGGAGGTACGAGGTGTTAACTTCATTCTGTGAATAAAGACTACCCTAACGAAGTGAAAGAAAAGGGAAAAAAAGGTTTTGAGAAGTTTTTAATGCCCCTTCTGGAAACAAGGTGTTGCAGAAGATGGATTTAGGAGCCTGCTGAGGAAGGGGAATGAGGGGTCCTGCTGGAAAGTTTGGGAGGGCTGAGCCAGCATCTCAGCTCAGTCAGCAGGGACCTGGGAAGGACTGTGGGGAGTGGGTTGGGGCTAGCGAGGCTCCACTTTAACGTCCCATGCCGAGGCGTGCAGGGAGTCAGACAGTGCTGGTGAGGGTCAGCGAGGTGATCTGAACTCCTGACGCAGCAGCTCTTGCCAACCATTCGCTGAGAAAGGTGCTGCTCAGCCCTCCCTAAAGAGCGTAAATCCCTCTCAAACAGCACTTAAATTATAAACTCAACCTGCCTAAAAATGAAGTGCTGGGCAACACGATCACTCCAAATGGCTGTAACAAGAAAGGATTCCTGTTCCTCTGCAAAATCATAACTCGCTACAATCAATAAAATTAGTTTATTGATATATAAACTGAGTTTACAATAAACTGAATTCAGAATAAACCAAGTTTAACTACCCTGGAAATGAGATTTCTGCAGTACTGCAAAACAACATAATGCTTGCAGTGAACCCATGTCCCCTGTACAGTCTTTCCAGCCGTCCTCTTGGCTCCTCTGGCTACAGGACCATTTAAAGAGTTCCCTACAGTCTCTTGCCGCAAGGCTTACAATGCTGTTGGACGCAGACAGGAGCGCGCTTTGTTTTTATTCCTCAAAGCCTTCTCATTCGCAGCCCGCTGCCACCTCACCACGTGCCTGGCAGCTAATGGACATGCGGTGCATCGAGCACGGAGGGAGGCAGGTGGCAGGCGCCCACTGAAAAGCTGTTGTGTGCCAGCAGCTTCTGCCCCAGCAAAGGGGAACCCGTCTCCATTCAACGCATGCTGCTACAATAAGGTCTCTATGCATTTCCAATTCCTGTTTAAAAGCTAGTGTCACTGGTGTCTAATTCAATATAGGAGAGAGAACCTCTGCAAGAGACAAGAGGCTTTTTAATTTTGGCACTCACACGATTAGCAGAGGCAGGAGCTGTGTCCGAGCGTCCCTACATACCAACCTAGACGAGACAGCCCACGGAGGTACAGATACACCTCCTGCAGAGTTTCTGGATGCCAAAACAGCAGCAGCAGCATTTCGGAAAGGACCACCTCCTCAGATATGCCTAAACAATTTGCATTTTGGGAGTGCCTCAGCAATCCCTTGTTAAAAATCAGCCACCAGACTGAAGGAAGGAGAGTACCAGCCCATCTCCTCCCACGCCTGAATCCCACCACTTCTCCTCAATGTATTAAGTACTCCAACAGCACTGGAGTTAAACAGAGCTTTACCTCCCTGTTCCCATCTATACTATCTGTAAAGAATCAAAATAATTCTTGAGAAGGAAAAAAAAAAATAAAAAATACAGGCCTCTCACCACCCCTTGATTTATTGAGTTGGAGCACCATGGTGGTTACCGATGCATTCAGCGCTCCTTCCAGGAACAGGTGCGGTGCAAAGGGTTTATCTCAACTGCCAGCAGGTTTCTGCAAAGGCTGCTTCCCACCAGCAGAACTGCACTGATTCTCCTGTTTCCAAAAGGCTGGGATCAGCTGGCTACACAAACTGGCAGAAGGGAGCCATTTTGTACCACTGCAGTGATTTGAAAATGTCCAAACATAACAAGGGACGACAGTTTGGATTTGCTTCTTTTACCCAATCTCAGCCAGACAGCCTTAGTGAGCAAGAGTAACGTATACTTTATATAAATTATCGTTCAATGTTACAGTAGTAGAGTTTACTCACAGAAGGAGCAGGTTGCCAATGTGCATACTTTGAAAACAGAGATGGACCTTACAAGCTACATTAACATGCATGCAAGTCCTAGTATTGGCTATGCAGCTGAGTATTCAAAATCTGGTAAGTTTATTGCACTGGGCTATGCCACAGTCATACAAAACCTGCTTCAGCCTCCAAATTAATTTATGGTTTATCTTTTCAAAAAGACCAGCTCCATAGGTGACCAATTGCCCACTTACTCAAGGACAGAGCCATGAGCTAGGCAGGCAGAAGACCAAGTGGAGATAACTCCTTTTTCAGTGTTACCAACACACAAACTTAGCGGCAAAAAGAGCATCTGAAACAGAAGTGTCTCAGGAGTATGCCAAAAGCACTGCCTGTCTCCACTTCACTTACAAGCAGATCCCTGGCAAAAAGTCATGACATTCTCCACTAGCTATAATTTCCTGAAGAGAAATACTGAGGTCACATCAGCAAACTTGTCATCAAACCAAGAGTATGCTGGGTGGGTGACCTGGGCTCCATTCACTGCTCTGCAGCTATGCAGGTTAAACTACTGTGCTTTGGGCTCTCAGTTTATAAAATGAGGCTGTGAATTATCTGCTTCTCTGACATACTACAATAATTCATCCATTAAGGCAAACAATGCTTGGGAACAGTGTAAAGTAATACTTTGAAACCAGAGACAAGAGCTGTATTCATCAGAATTCCCACTCAGAGAAAGTGGCTTAACAAAATGCTCCTGTCAAATTTGATTAGAAAGTGGGCGATAACATCAGCCTTATTTCTCATAAGTAAGAGGCAACACTGCAAGGCAAAATGTGCTCTCGCTCTCACCTTACCTGCTCCTCCATATTCCTGCCTAAGCCTGTAAAAGACCAAACCCTTTTTCATGTAAGATAATTAAACGAAAGCTTGTGGACCACAACACTACTAATGAGTCCACTACAAAGCCATAAATTATTTTCTTTCGATGCTTGCTTGTCATTCAACATTGCAGAGAGACAACAGGGAGAGATTGTAGG